ACCTAATGCCTTATAGTCATTGAATTGATAGTGGACTCTTGAGGTCCTAGGCAACGACAAGGAACAGTAAACAAAAAGGAAAAAGATGCTGCCGGCCAATTTGGCCAAACTATGTTCTGTAAATGGCGGATCGTCATGGATCAACCGTCAAAAAACTATATTGCCAAAACTAACTCCAAGCAATCCATCATCAATCTGCATCACCCAAAATAAAAGTGCATTAACACAACTGAAAACTTCATTACTAGAATAAATAGCATACGTAAAAATATACATCACTGCAATTTATAAATTTTAATAATTTGAGGTATGTTTGCTTATATCTACCAAGCCTAAATTCGAGTGTTTGCTTCTATCTACCTAGTCGAGTGGCGTATTGGCGAAAGGATTGTTTTGACAAGTTTCTCTATGTCCAAGCAATATTTTCAAAGTGGTGTTGTAGCATATGGAGTGAAGTGGTCTCGTTTCAAGACTTATGTGCTTAAGTATATGTCAATAAAACTAAGCATGTGTTTAGAATTGAAAATCCTTACCAAGATGAAATCAAATCGCTAGTCTTTTCAATGCCCCCACCACATTGCATTACCAACTTTACCTTTGTCATTTGTTGCATTATCATCTCTTACCACTTTTCAATCTACACAATTTTTTCCTTACTCCCGTGTGTGTATGACAGATGTTGTGTGTGAGTGTGATAGATCTTGCGTACACGCATGTGCTTGTGTGTGTGTGTTAATTGTGCCTACGCCCACTTGGCAAACCTGATAATAGTGCTCTATGATTGTGTCTTTGCGTGAGTGCATGTGTGCGTGAGCATACTAGAGTAGTTGTTTGCATGTATATTATGTGCTTGTGTGTGTGGTGGGTTAGGGTTAGTGTTAGGCTAGGGTTACGGTTTAGGTTAGAGTTACAGTAATTATGGGCTTTGATATTGAGAGAGAGATAGAGAGAATACATACTTGTTGAAAGATAAACTTGTTTTAGAGTTTATTATAATATTAAGGTGTGTTAATTAGGTGTGTGTTAGTGGGCAAGGAATATGCAAGTAGTAGAAGACAAGAGTCTTAGTGGGGGTGTTAATTCCAAAATAATGGTGTCTTAATATTATAGAGGCTACCAGAGTTAGTGGGTATAATGGTACCTTAATGTAATGCTAGGACTTATATGTATGACCTATACCAGTAGGGTACATGACCTAGAGTTTCAAGTAAGTAGAGTTGAGTAGAAATTGAAGAGTCCAAGTTGAGTGTGTGATTGTAATCAACTTGTATGAAAATTATTTTTCTTTGAGTGTTCATATGCTCCCCTACTTCCTTTCATTTTATTTATAGTCTTCTTGACTCCAACGAAGTGGTATCAGAGCGATTTTTTTGTTGTAGTAATATTGGAGTAATTCCAACAATACTAATCTTGCGCAGAAACGGGAAAGAGATCATAGCCACTCAAGAACCAAAAAATAGGGAATAAGAAAAATATAAGGAAAAAAAGAGGGAAAAAAGGGGTTTCACAATATAATTTTATCATCGATAAAAAATTATTATTTTTAGCTACAAATCAATATTACTACTAAATAGTGTCACCTTTAAATAAATCATTAAAAAATATTATTTGATTCGCAATGATTAAGGTAGCGTTTGGTAATATGGTTTTTGTGTTTTTTTTTATTTGTTTTTGTTTTTATTTTTTGCTTAAAAAAAAACAATAATGCGTTTGGGATGTGTTTCACTTTTTTTACTGTCTCGTTTTTGAAAATAAGTTCAAAATATGAAAACATAAAAAATGATGTTTTTGAAAACATCAAAAAAAAAAAACATGTGCGCGCCTTAGCACCACCATTTAATGAGAACCTTCGAATTTTGTTAACACCAAAATTTAGGACTTCTGGTTGGAAGTATAAAAGGGTCATTTCTCTCTTCAACCTACTATTGCTCACCCAACTTTTCTCTATCTCTATCGTCTAAGAACTGAAGAGCTGCCTCTCATCTTCTCTCTTTCTCATCTTCTTTGTGAAAATTTATCCTCTCTCTTTTTCATCCTCTTTGGTAGTGGTTGAATGGCTAGTGGTGGACGGTTTTGCTTGGTTTGGTGTTGGAGGGCTAGGTGGTGGGGTTTGCTTGGTTTTGGGGATGGGGGTGGGTTTCAGTGGTGGTGGAGGGTTTCGGGGTTGTAGGGGGTTGTGGCTCTGTGGGGGTGAGTTTCGGTGATGGTGGTGGGTTGGGTGGTGGTGAATTTCAGGAGAAAGGTTGTGAGGGTGGATTTTAGTGGTGGTGGTGGGTTTTAGGGTTGCAAGGGGTTGTGGCTTTGTCGGGGTGGGTTTGGGTGGTGGTGAATTTCAGGGGAAGGACATGGGTTTCGGTGGTGGTCATGGGAGTTTGGTGGTGGTAGGTGGATGGGTGTTTGGTGGTTGGTGGGGTGTTAGGTGGTTGGTGGTGGTGTTGGGTGGTGAAATTTTGATATAATACAAAACATATTTTTTATTTTTATAAATTTTTAAATATAAATGACTACCAAACATGTTTTATATTTTTAATTTTTATCAAAAACAAAACAAAAATTAGCTTTATTATTATTATTATTTTTTTATAAAAAAATGTAAAAACGAAAACGTTACCAAATACACTCTAAGTTTGTCATCAAAAAATACGCGCCTTGTAACCACATTCGGCGACGAGCATATTTTGGCGACAAAATGTAATGTTGGTTGTGAAATGTCCGTCTTTGGCAACATTTTTTCTTATTCGTCGCAAAAAGTTGTAAACTAATTTTTTTGTAGTGTGGACGTAACTAACACCGAGCTAAAAAATTTTCTAAGCAAAAGTAAGCTTGAATTGACAAAATAAATCATCATTTATCAAATAAAATAATTATAATATTTAATTGATAATTAATTAAAGGCTGGTATCAATAGCAATGTTGTGCATTGGAGGCTTGAAATGATTTAAATTTTGCAGGGAACAACAATGGGTTGATACATAATGAACTTAGGCTCCCATCTCTTGCGTAATTATTTGATTCACTATAGTTTTTCCAGTTCCTCATCCGATGAAGCACAAAGGGATGGATTTTGTTCTCAAAAAATGAAGGGAGTTATTTTTGAAAGAGTGCTAGTTTGGGAGTTTGTTTTACAACAAGTTTTATTTAGGCCAAAAACTCCTTTTAATTTATCCATTAATAATGTTGCTTAATTAATTGCTCTACTTGGCTGTTATGTGTGTCTAAATGAGGTCAAACACTCATAACCATATATTTGTAAAAAAAAAAAAATGCATACCAAGCTTAGATAGAACACACCCATCATAATAATTCTACTTGTTCTCATCTTTTTTGTCTTCATATCCTTAAATTGGATAGGGCGGAGCCAAAAAATGAGATTTGGGTGTACACTTTAATTACAAGTTTTAATTATTTTATTTACAGATAAAAAAAACAAAAAAAAATATATTTATGTGTATAGTGGTCAATGTTTAGTCTTGAAATATGCATAATTCTTGTCATTATTGTTTGGTTAATTGAAATTATACTTAGGATTAGACTTGTTAGAATGATGAGTTTTCGGATTTTATATCTATTTTGTAGAGTTTGCTTTTTTTTTTTTTTTGTCATTTGTAGCATTTGCTTGTTTAATAGGTAAATACATCAAAGTGATGATAATTGGATGCAACCATGCAAGAAAGATGGAATCCAAATCTTTTGGATGAAAGAAACAAAGTCTTCATAGAATGTTAGAGGTGTCCGGATGAGGTTTAGGACCGTTCAGAGAGATTGATGTGTCCAGATACAAGAAAAGCGCATCTGAACGCAGTTGACAAATGACAAATAGTAGCTTATATGCACCTAGACGCACGTTTGTACCGTTTGGATATGAGAGTCTTTTTAGGCTTTATTCGGTGACCATTAAAACTTGTATTAACCCTAATTGGGGTGATCATCCATCTTTTAGCCTCTTCTTCTAGTTTTTATTTTAACCTTATGGATTGCTACATCCCCAATTAAAGTTAGGAATGATTCTTTCAATTAAGTATACTATTTATTTTTGATCCAATATTTTTCTAATGCATGATTTTCTTTATTAATTGATCTTATGTTTTAGTAAATTTTTTGCTCTATAAAATTTATTGATAAATGTGTCACGTACATCGAATATTTTAGATTCACTGTGAGTTAAATAACTGATTTTGTATGTCTAAATCAATTAATTGGGAGTTTTATAAAAATAATTAGTTTCTTGTTTGTGACCAAATATGTGTCTCTACCTTACTTCCCAATAAATGTTTGATTTCAAGAGAATGTGATGGAATTTTCAGCTCACCGGTTCACATTTTTTGGTTTATTTTCCCTCAACTACTCCCCCCCCCCCCCCAAAAAAAAAAAATTGATGGTTTTAGCTTTGATTGCATAATACTGATGGCTTAATCTTTTGTGCTTAATTAGCCAATAAAAAACCATGGTTGAATGGAAACAAAGTAGTAGATAGGATTTGATCCTTCTGGGTGTTTATCTACTTAATGCCCATTTCCGTTTGAGTGGACGAATATATAACTTAGAATAAATTACATGAATAAACCTAGAGTTCTTGTGAAATAAGACTGTTTCATTCAAATATAAAAGTGAAAGAAATAACTAACTATACATAATTATTAGTGAAAGTTGTTAATGAGATGATCATCATACCACTATGTAACTTCAAAGCTCATCTATTGTATTTATTAAATTTCACAATAAGTCATTGTTAGCAGTAATATTTGATCTGGACTTAACAATCCATTCTGATTTACTCTTCTCAAAATATAATTAGATGACATTAGAATGCCACTGCAATCGATTATTTGAAACTGTAACATAAGGCATGATACTTGAAAAACAAGTACTACATTTATTCTTGACAAAGTATAGATACATCTAGGAAGAAATAGGGAAGAAAAAGATAACACCACTTACTCCCCCGCTCTCCCTTATATGGGATATAAGTAAATGAACACTGGCAAACAAAGTCCATGGCATCAAACATCGACTGCTTTCCGTTTTTTGGGTGCAGGTGTTGGTTTGGGTGCGGGCGCATTCAAGAAAGAATAGAGCCAACCAGAAGATTTCTTTGCTATTCGCTTGTAATTGTTCAGGTAGTCTACGTAGGCAAGGCCATACCGAACATTATAACCTGATCCCACTTCCATACAATCCATCAAAGCCCACATGAGGTAACCTTTGACGTCTGTTCCTGCCCTACATTCCAAGAAACACATAGTAATATTCAATTAAGACTACCATAGTTGATTATTGTAAGGAATGGAGGAAAAAAAAAGAATTAGTTTCACTTACTTTATTGCTTCAGAAATTGCATTAAGATGACCGATCATATGCTGAATTCGAGCATCATCCTTTATGGCAGTCTTCACTGGAATGGTGTCGTCTCGTTTCTCGGGATATCCTATTGGGGAAAGTGAGTCCATTTAGTAGAGAATTTACAATAGTCTAGGGTTTTAACAACTTAACTACAACTGTATTGAACTAACCATTTTCAGTGACAATGATTTTTGGATTGTCATAAGTATTGCGTATATATATCAGCGCATCCCTTAGCCCTTGTGGGTAAACATAAATAGAAGAACTCCCTGGTGCCTAGATTTGAATTAACCATGACCACAACTTTGCGATTAGCTATAAATGTCAAGAATCAGTCATATAAGTCGAAGTTAATAGTAACTTGCAAATAAAATATCATACTTGTGGCCCAATGAGCACCCCTCGGCTATTTTCGGCTGGGACAAGCATGGTAGATAGGAAAGTGAGATCAGATATTTCTAGCTCGTCAACAAAACATTTTTTGTTCCAAATATCTTTTTATCACAAATAAGAAAAAAAATGCAACTAAATTGCATAAAAAGGGTTCTTCCGATAAAACTTACGCGTGAGTGCAACACGTTGGAAATCAGCTTGGCTCTCAGGAAATTCATCTGGACCTAACATTGGAAGACTCTTTGCATAGCGAGAAGTATAGTAATTAACACCGATGAAATCATATGATCCTTGAACTAAAGATTTTTGTTCATCAGTAAATGTTGGAAGGTTGTCGCCCACCAGAGCTTTCATTATGAATGGATAGTCACCATATATCAAGGGCTCCAAAAACCTAGTTTTTGACGGAAAAGACATGTACTAAAAGTTGAATCATTTGAGTTTAATCACTATTTGGTATCACTGTTTACATTGCTTAATTAAGAAAAAATAACAGTTATACTAACCATCCCGTGAGGAAGTCAAACGCTCTCATAGCTGCATCGTCATCATGTCGTCCAGATTCATATGGCTCAAACCATTGGGTCACTAGTGGAATACCAATCTCTCCTTTTTGAGTTGGCTGTGGGAAAATAGAATCTCAATCGACAAACGATACTGTTTAAAAATATTATATATATATGTGTGTGTGTGTGTGTGAGTGCGCGAATTGCGTAATCACCTGGTAAGTATCTTTGTACAGTTTAACAACTGTGGCATGGGCTAGTATGATGTTATGTGCGACAATGAATGGATTTGTTACTGGGAGTGGATCTGGTGGGTTCAGCCCTATTTTGTACCCATATTGTGCAAACACTTGTGGCTCGTTGATAGTAACCCAATACTTTACTCGATCTCCAAATTTTCGGAAACAAAAATCGGCGTAGGCTTTGAAGTCATCTCTAAATTCAAAAATCACAAAGTACTCAAAAATTAAGAAATTTTATGGAATCTGATCATCAAGAATTACTGCAACACTTGGAAAGTAATTATTTTTTGCTATTTCACTTTCTCTTTTTATTATTTTTTTGATGATTTTTTATTTTTGCCTTTTCCATTGCTTACTCCTTTCTTCTAATCTAATATCACACCTATAGTACTATAAAAACATTTGGGTTGGTTGCCATAACGTAAAAGGAAAGATTGCATAATTGATTTAGGTTAATTATGTATAAGTGGGTAAAATAGAAAATTAAAAATGAGTGAAAAGAGCACTACTATAAGCATCTAATTTGACGACCTAATTAAATGGAGAAATTGGATTAGTTGTGAGTTTTAATGTTAGATGGAGCATACTTTCAATCCAACAACTGTATTTGATTGGTCACAAAATTAAGTCTAAATATCTTTTTTTCGGATCAAAAATACTACCCATTGGTATTAATATAGGTCAAAATACTTTTCTTCTAATCTTATATTACACCTATAATATGATTGAACTGTATTGTAATACCCCCCCCCCCCCAAGTGGTCTTAATATAGGATCAAGAGTACGGATAAATCGTAATATTCGTGTGCCTATCTTATACATATATAGAAATGTTTTTGGCACTCAAATATAATATAAAGTTGGATTAGAAAATTTTAATCTGTTGTGAGTTCGCAATTCAACTCTTAATACAAATGTATTGTTTATAGACTATATTAGTTCTATATCATTTTTTGCGAAATAGTAACTAACTATTTTTATTTTTCAGCAAAATTGTATTTTGCTTAAAAACAATTACATAGAAAAGACGTTATCAAATAATAATTAGTGTGAATGTGGACCAGACACTTACATAATCCGGGGGTCCAAGAACCCATTGTACTTAGTCTGCAATGCCGTGGGCAAGTCGAAGTGGAAAAGTGTCACAACCGGGGTTATACCTGCATTAAAATTTTTGTTCATCATAAAGGAGAGAATAAATTTCACTTTGGCAGGTCAAACTATGAATAAATTTCATAGTCCTGTTCGAGCAGTTCATTAAAAAAAAGCAAGTTAAATGAATTATTTCTTACCATTCCTGACTAGTTCATCAATCAACTTGTTGTAAAAATCAATACCGCGTTTGTTTGGACGATCAGATTTTATTCCATCTGCATTTTTTAAACGTCAAGAACACCAATCAATGGAGATATTTGGCGTTTTAGCTGGAACACTAATGGTGGTGGTGTGGATTATTAGGTCATGTAAAGAATAACATGAAAATAAAGGGTGATTGCTACACTGTGGGGTTGTATAAAGTGAAGAATGGAACAAAGGTGGTTCAAATATGTGTTAGACTGCCGTTGGATATTGGGATTGATAGTGAGTTTTAGTATAAGTTGTGATCCATTATTAATTCAATAATCATGATAAAAGTAATTTTCTTCTTTCGGGGCTGGGCCAAGCATTTATATTTAAAACTAAAGTAGTCAAGTGCATCACATAATTAAATGACCACGATAAAATTAAGTCATCAAATTAAGCAAACATATAAAATCCAAATAATTTTATTAAAAATGAATTATTATTTATAAGGGTATCTAAGAACATACCAGGGAAGATCCTACTCCAAGAGATGGATAACCTGTAAGCATTAGCTCCCATTTTCACAAGCTGTTGAACATCCTCCTGTTACACCATGCATGCAAAATTATAGACTATTCAATCCATACTTTTAAGTAATTTTGTTATTTCGGTGCAGGGCCAAGCATTTATATTTTATACTAAAGTACTAATGTGCATCTCATAATGTTTTTCCATTACGAGTAATGCTATGACAGGAGCTGCTAAATCATCTGTATATCTCTTGAGTTTATCGTCGCTAGGAATATCAATAGACCGAAAAAAAGTGGAATTCATCTAAACTGTTTTGTTTAGATCGAAGGTGAACTATATGTATTAAATGATGGATATATATGAGAATATTTGTATAAACCTGTGAGAAAATGGATGTGGAGATGGACTGAGACTTGTCCATCTAAACCCGTTAATTATAACCCTAAAATTTAAAAGCAATGCTACATATATTTAAAAAATAGATTTAAAATGTGTACTTAATAATTACAATCATAAATTTTATCGTGATTTCAATATTTATTAGAACTCACTATCTCAATAATTTTAAGTATCAAGTACATATTTTAAATTCACACGTATTTCTCAAAATCAAATTCGACGCCGCTGCCTTCTATGCTCTCACTCTCTCTCGCTAACCAGAGACCACAGACGCCTACTCTTCTTCTCTCTCCCTCTTCTACTACATAGCTGGCTGCCTTCTCTTCTCTCTCTATCACTGACCAGGCGGCCAGCAACTAGCGACCTCCATTACTCTCTTTTACCTCTATCTCTGTCGCAAACCCCCACCACCTACCCATCTCTCTCACCATAAACTACTCAACAGATGTTGGAGATTAGATTTTACCCATAGTTGGAGATGGGGATAGATGAAGTTTTTTTTAAGCGGGCACAAGGTGGAGACTACTATATTGCCCCCGCACCTGTTTGATATGTACTTTTATTGGAATTAATTGACCATATGTCGAGGTAATATAGTCAATTAATTTCATTAAAACTATACATTACTAGACCGACAAATTAGATCAATTTTTTAGATTCATATAATATTAACCTTGTTTTAATTATATATATATTAAAGAATTATGTATGACGTGATCTTGATCAAGTAAGAGTATAGTTTTGGGTATATCATTTACTGGGTATAGGTTGTATGAGTTGACTGCATCTCCTCCTTCTAGCATAGAATCCCAGGTGCTGGGTCCTCTCCCTCCTTTTGTTGCTGATGATTCCGTCTGCACCAAAGTCCAAGTAAATATCACAATTCAATACACCCACAACCCTGACCAAAACAGAACCCAAAAAAAAAAAAAAACAATAAACACACAACAATGACCAATATGAATTGAACACACACACACACACAGATATATATATATATATATTACGTAAAGAGAGAGACCTGCAAAGCAGAAGAGGCGCAGCCAAAAATGAAATCAGGAGGGAAGTCATGTCTTGTAACGGCTGTTCGGTCTGAAATAGGGGTTGGGGTAACTCCTCCATTGAAAAGGCGACTAAGAACATCGGGTGTAGGGGCTGCAACACCTTTCAAACATCGTATGGTAAAAGAAGGAGACGAAGACGAACTCTTCCTTGCACTCTTCAGATGTGGGACTCCCCCAATAGGGCCAGTAATGAATTGGCTTCGTCTCTGTAAGGAACACAAATGAGCCGGAGATGGACTCTTTGGTGAAACAGAACTGCCAAGTGTTGCTGTGCACAACGTGGCCATGGTCTGAGAGAGAGAGAGAGAGAGAGAGAGAGAGAGAGAGAGAGAGAGAGAGAGAGAGAGAGAGAGAGAGAGAGAGAGAGAGTGAGTGATGAATTTTTAGTGGTTTACAAAGGGAGTACTGATGGATGGGTATTTATAGAGCTGGGAGATGGAGTAAACGTTCATCATTGTCAGGTTACTATCCAATTAGATAAGAGTAATGTTATATAAATTTAAAAATTACACTTAAAAATTCAACCATTGAATAAGTAGTGAGTCTCAATAAATATTAAGACCTGTAGTGAAATCATTAGTTATAATTCTCAAGTCTAATTTTTATATTTATTTTTTAAGTTCATGTAACATTACTCGTTAGAAAACTAGAAATAGAGAAAGTAAACCTCAATATTTTTTATAACTATCCGTAACTACCACGTCCAAACAGTAATGCATAGGATTAGTGGGATCCATATTTCCTATTTATTATCTTCTAATTAGATGATGACACCATGTAACGGTAATGACATGGTGTCATCGTTGCAATGAATATTTTCTCAGGAGAAAATTGGTTTTTTTTTTATTATATTTCTTTTTTAATTAATTAAAATTCTTTTATTTTATTATTAGTATAAAGTATTTGCAAATTAGTGGAGACCTATGATTTACAAGTATTCGATTCAAAAAGATAAGAGCAAATGACCAAATAAAGATGATTAGCCGATCTAATTTTCTCTTTTCAGAAGGAGATTACTCCAATTGTATTATCTCCCAATTTTTATTTTTGGTGGATCTTCAGTCGTGCGGTCTATTGTATGTAAGTGAGATTAGTCACTTGTTAATAGTGAATTAATTATCAAGAAGGGAAATTAAAAAAAATGTATTTGAGAAAATCTTAATCTATGAGATCCCCTAATTTTCACAAAAATAATGTTAACAACTAAATTTAAGAAGTTGTAAAAAGGAGACCCCTGTGTATTTTTTTTTTATTTATTTTGGTTCAACAGTCAGAAGTGTTCGAATCAACTTATTAAAAAGTAAAAACAATTGGTTGACTTATAATTCATTTTTATTATGGTATCATATGAAACTATTATTTGCGATTTTGATTTATTCATAGATATAAGGTTATATTATAAACAAACAAAGAGAGAGAGAGAGAGAGAGAGAGAGAGAGAGAGAGAGAGAGAGAGAGAGAGAGATTATCACAATTAATGAATTTCTACGATGACATGACCCACTTTTGAGTTTTGTGATTAAAAATAATTTTTTCGATGTCATTGCATAAAAACTAAATTTAGTAGATTTTTTTTAAATAAAAATTTATCATTGACAATAACCATTGAATAAACCTATTGAATTAAATTTTTTTCTATGTTGTTGTTGGCTCTCCTCAAAATAAAATTTTAATTCCGCCCGAGTTTGGGTTTATCAGAACGTGCATTCCAAACCAAGAAAAGTTTATTTGAAAATACTTCAAAGCAAAGAAAGAAGAAAATATTACTTCTGGTCCCACTCGAATTATATATATATATATATATAAGAATCTTTTATGTTTCTTCGCTTCTAAATGTGTTATTATCATCATGTATTAGTGATATAATAATTTTAATAGTAATGAATTACCCACTATAGAAGTACTTTTCACTGTTTTCTTTCAACTTCTTTGGTTCTGACAAAAAAAAAACCTTCTTGGGTTCTATATTATCCATCGTGTAGGGTGGAGCCAAGATTTTTTTTTTTTGGGAGGGGGGAAATATGACGAAATACATTCATGTCCTATTACCAAAAAAAAAAAAAATTAAGTTCAAGTCTAGTAAAAAATAATTAAGATTTAAAGCTTAATTACTATATGAAATAGTATTCTTGAAAATTATCTACCATTGTTTTTTTTTATTATATTTCTTTTTTAATTAATTAAAATTCTATTATTTTATTATGAGTATAGAGTATTTGCAAATTAATCGAGACCTATGATTTACAAGTACTCGATTCATAAAGATAGGAGCAAATGACCAAAAAACAGATGATTAACCAATCCAATTTCTCTTTTTCGGAAGGAGATAACTCCAAATGTATTATCTCCTAATTTTTCTTTTTGGTGGATCTTCTACCGTGCCACTTATTGTATGTAAGCGAGATTACTCGCTTGTTAATAGTGAATTAATTATCAAGAAGGGAAATAAAAAAATCTTAATCTATAAGATCCCCTAATTTTTACAAAAATAACGTTAACGACTAAACTTAAGAAGTTGTAACAACCAAACCTCTATGTATCTTTTTTTTTTTGGATTTAATGATCAGGAGTGTTTGAATCAACTTATACATATTTCGACTAATTCTTTTCTCGATTGTTTCAAAAACAGGTCATCTACGCCAATATTAGAATATTCCTGAAGAATAAATTTCTCGTAGTCTGATTCTAAGGAGTTATCAACATTCAAACTCAAGATATCTAAATTTACAATTTGTCTCTTTTATAATTAGAGCTCATCTTTACCATTTTACTCTCTTGTATATTTTTCTTTTATCTCTCAATTATCTAATCTTTTATACACGAGATTCCAACTAATATGCATTTTTCTCTTTGTAAACAAACACGGCCGACACTTCACGGGACGCACAAACACATTAGACATATATCTTTAATATTCGAAAGTATAGTAGCACATTCGAAAGTATGGGCCCCGGGGTGCTGTGTTTTCAAGTTGGTGATCGCTTGAAGATCAAAGTTGCTGAAGAATAATTAATGTTTTTTTATATCTATTTTGAACCCTTGGAGATGTTTGTTTTAAGGAATTAGTTGGGTGAGATTGAAATATTTAATCCGACTCCTTAGACTTTGATGGGCATACTTTAATATCTTTTCTCATCTTACACGACTTTTGGGTAAGTTTTTCATTATACATGTGGATCCCACAAAATATAATAATTACATTTGTAATTGATTTGAATGTTCTTTCACATTTATTTAGATAACGAGGTATTAAAAAATATAATATAGTAATTTACATTCTTGCGGCCCCCACAATAAAAAGAAAATATTCTATTTGATGTGAATTGACTTAATACCCTTGTCTTGCCATAGAACATAGGCTTTAGAAGGGGTTCAGTTGTAATTTATCTTTGTAATACCTTGATTAGGTTTATTACCTCATTATTGTACCACCCCCACTGATATTAATTAAATCCTTGTACACGAGATATTATTTTTACATTTTTGTGTGGGCCTGTTAATAACATAACAAACACTATATAAGTGGGTCTCATACTACTATTTTACTCTATCTCACTTTCTAATATCCATATATTCGGCAAACAAACTCCTTGATATATTTCTATCATTTTCTCTTTAGTAATACAATAAAAATAGGGTTTACTGGTATTTAATTACGAGTAATACTATATGGATGAAAAATTAGATTTAATTATCATAATTATTGAATAGGTAGTGAGTCCTAATAAATGGTGAGACTCACAGTAAAATCAATGACTATAATTATTAAATTTAATTTTTAAGTTTATATAACATTATTTTTTAACTATCGATGTTTATATAAAACACAGGTAACGTCACAATGGTCCTATCGGCGAATGATTGAGGAATTTACTTTTCCCCGGGAAAAAACGTTGGTGGAAACGCATGGCATGTTGATCTTCCTTATAGTAATTTAATGTTTTCCTTATTAAATTATAGTTGATTCAATATGGTTTTTTTCGGTTCCTCATCCGATGAAGCACAAAGGGATGGATTTTGTTGTCAAAAAATGAAGGAAGTTATTTTGGAAAGAGTGCTAGTTTGGGAATTTGTTTTAAAACAAGTGTTAGTTAGGCCAAAAATCTTTTGAATTTATCCATTAATTATGTTGTTTAATTAATTGCTCTACCAGGCAAATATGTGTGTCTAAATTAGGTCAAATACCCATAACTATATATTTGTTAAAAAAAAAAAAAACAAAGCATATCCAGCTCAAGTAAAACACACCCATCATAATAATTCTACTTGTTTTCATCTTTTTCTCCATCATAACCTTCAATTGGATTGGGCGGAGCCAGAAATAGAGATTTGGGTGGACATTTTAATTACAATTTTTAATTATTTTTTACAGATAAAAATAAAATAAAATATATATTATTGGTTCAAATCTCCCCTCGCTTCTCTTTCTCTCTCTCTCTCTCCCCCCCCCCCCCAAAAAAAAAAGTCTTGAAATATGCATAATTCTTGTCATTATTGTTTGGTTACTTGCATTATATTTAGGATTAGATGTGCATGAAAGGTGTGTTTTCGGATTTTATATCTATTTTTAAGCATTTGCTTGTTTAATAGGTAAATACATCAAAGTGATGATAATTGGATGCAACCATGCAAGAAAGATGGAATCCAAAGCTTTTGAATGAAAGAAATAAAGTCTTTACAATATGTTAGAGGTAGACGTTTAGAATCGTCCAGAGAGATTGGTGCATCCACACACAAGAAATGCTTGTCCAAATGTGGTTGGCAAATGAAAAACAATAGCTTGTATACATCCAAACGTGTGATTGTACAGTCCAGCCACTAAAATCTTTTCAGCAACTGTCCAGTCTTTCACTTTTACTAGGTTTAGACTTTTTCAGGGACTATTAAAACTTGTATTAATCCTAATTGGGGATCATCCATCTTTTAGCCTCTTCTTCTAGTTTTTACTAGTATCTTGATTATGGATTGCTACAGCCCCAACTAAAGTTAGGGGTGATTCAGTCTCTTATGTACAATATTTATTTTTGATCCAATTTTTTTAAATGCATAATTTTCTTTATTAATTGATCTTATGTTTTAATAAAATTTTTGCTCTTCAAAATCTATTAATTTGTGTGTCATGTATATCAAATGAAGTAAATTCGTTGCGAGTCAAAAAATGATTTGAGCTTGATTGCATTATATCGATGGCTTAATTTTTCATCCTTAATTAGTCAAAAAAAAAACATGCAGTTTGATGGAAAATGAAGTAGCAAATAGGATTTGACCCTTCTGTATGTTTATCTACTTAATGCCAGTTTCACATGTATAACTTAGGATAAATTACATGAATAAACCTCGATCTCTTGTGAAGTAAAACTGTTCCATTCAAATTATAAAAATGACACGGAAATAACTAAAAGTTATTAATGAGATGATCATTCTACCATCAAAGCTCATGGATTGTATTTAATAAATTTGACATGAAACTCATTGTTAGCAGTAATATTTGATCTAGATTTAACTGTCCATTATGATTTACTCTCCTAAAAACATAATTAGATGACATTAGAATTTCACTACAATTGATTATTTGAAACTGTTACATAAGGCATGATACTTGAAATACATTTATTCTTGACAAAGCACAGATACATCTAGGAAGAAACAGGGAAGCAAAAGATAACACCACTTACTCCCCCGCTCTCCCTTATAGGGGATATAAGTAAATGAACAGTGACAAACAAAATCCATTGGCGTCAAACAGCGACTGCTTTCCGTTTTTTGGGTGCAGGTGCAGGTGTGGGTTTGGGTGCCGGTTCATTCAAGAAAGAATAGAGCCAACCTAAGGATTTCTTTGTTATTCGCTCTAAATTGTTGAGATAGTCTACGTAAGCAAGGCCAAACTGAACATTATAAAATGATCCCACTTCCATACAATCTATCAAAGCCCACATGTGGTAACCTTTGATGTATGTTCTCGCCCTGCATCCCAATAAACACATAGTAACAGTCAATTAAGACAACTATATATAGTTGATTGTCTTAAGAAATAAAGGAGAAAAAAGAATTAATTATGTTAGAGATAGTTAGTAATGTAAAGAATCTCACATTAGAAAAGTTGAAAGGGAATGTAAGGGTTTAAAAAAATGAGAAACACACCAAATTTTATAAATTTGGATGTAAGGAAAATTTGGAGAGAAACTCCAAATATTTCAAATCAATGAGTTTTGATTAGGCTTTAAATAAAATAATCTTTAAAATCAAAAAATGGGTACTTGGGCTTGAAACCTTTAAATAATTAATTAATTAATTGCTAAATGTCTTTTGGCTCAAGAGTTGTATATCCTCACTAAGGTATTATAAATACCTACACAGATCTTTCAATTGAAATATATACAAAAAAAAAACGTTTTTCTATTCTGTTCTTGAGAGAATTTTAGAGTTTGTTATCTGAAATTTTGTTTAACTTTGTTAATCCTAGAGGAATTTGCCATAAACCTAGCCCCAACATAGTGGGGGTATAGTTTCCTTAAAGACAGTAAATACACGATCAAAGTATTCTAATTTGATGAAATCCTATTTTGCTAACAATGCTTACTTTATCGCTTCTGAAATTGCGTAAAGATGACCAATTGTATGTTGAATTCGACCATCATCTTGTATGGCAATCTCCACTAGAATGGTGTTGTCTCGTTTCTCGGGGTATCCTATTAGGGAAAGTGAGTTCATTGTCTTAGTAGAGAATTAACAATAGACAGGATTTTAAAACTTTGCTATAACTGCATTGAACTAACCATTCTCAATGACAATGATTTTGGGATTGCCATAAGTACTGCCTATATATATCAGTGCATCCCTTAGCCCTTGTTGATAAACATAAAAAAGCGTCGCTCCTCGGTGCCTAGATTGTAATTAACCAAGACCACAACTTTTTGATTAACTATAAATGTCGAGAATCAATCATTTAAGTCAACTATAAGTGACTCGAAAATAAATTATCTTACCAGTAGCCCAATGAGCTCCCCCTTGCTATTCATAGCTGGGTTAAGCATGATAGATAAGGAGACATAAGATAATTCTAATTTGTCAACAATACAGTTTTTGTTCCAAAAGAATTTTTATCGAAAATAAGAAAAAAAATTGTGGCTAAATTACAGAAAAATAGGATTTTTCTAGTAAAACTTACACGTGAGTTTAATGCATTGGAACTCAACTTGGCTTTGACCAGTACCATTTGGACCTAACATTGGAAGACCTTGTGCATAGTTAGCAGTATAGTAATTAATACCTATAAAATCATATGATCCTTCAACTAAAGTTTCTGTTCGTCAGTAAATGTTGGAAGCGCATCGCCCAGCAGAGCTTTCATTATGGACGGATAGTCACCATATATGAACTTATGTATTTTTAAATTAAATAATCACCTAGTAAGTCTCTCTGTACCGTTCAGCAACTGAGGCATGGGCTAGTATGATATTATGTGCGACAATGAACGGATTTGTTGCTGGTTGTGCATCTGGTTTGTTTAGCCCTGTATTGTACCCGTGTTGTGCAAACACTTGTGACTTGTTGATAGTAACCCAGTACTTTATTCGATTTTCAAATGTTTGGAATTAAAGATTGACGTAGGCTTTGAAGTCATTTCTAAGTTTAAAAATCACAAAGTACTCAAAAGTAAGAAAATTTGATGGAATTTGGTTATTAAGAACTTCGGTAACACTTGGGCAAGTAGTTCTTTTTTTGTTGTTTTCATTTTCTTATTATCTTTTTTTGTTGATTTTTTTTATTTGCCTTTCCCATTGCTTACTCCTTTTTTATCTATATAATAAAGTAATTTACAATTCAAATCTCAAAAGATAAATAAAATAATTTTTACTATTCGCGGTTGAGATAATTTTAAATTTTATTTTAAAGATAATCTAACGGCTAATATTAACACCTTAAATTTAATAGGAAAAATATGTACCTAAAGGTGTGTTTGGAGTGACTTTTTAAAAGTACTTTTAGAAATTATTTCTCATAAATACTTAAAAAATAAAATAATGTTTAAAACCGTCCCACCACCACCGCCACTGCCGCTGCCGACACCACCACCGCCACCACCATCACCGTCACCCCCGCCGCCACTATCACCATCATCGCCATTGCATGCCCACCACCACCCCCGTACCCCCACCCCCGTCGTCGCCACTGTCGCTGTCGCCACCACCACCACCTTCATCGTCGTCGCCCTCGCCACCACTACAGTCATTGTCACCTACCACAATCATCATCGTCTCCTACCACCCCTACTGTCGCCCACCACCTCTCTCCCCCCACTACAAACCGATGCTTAAATTCCTTTAACTATTTTCTATGTTTGTGATTTAATTTTGGATATGAATATAAATATGTTTATTGTTTACTATTTTTTATTACTCTGTGCTTTCAGACACAAGTAATAACTAGTAATCTTATATCACACGTATAGTGCTATAGAACATATCATTTGGTTGTAATATCATAAAAAAAAAAAAAATTGCATAAGTAATTCAGGGAAATTCTATATCAGCAAATAAAACACAAGATTAAATGTGAATAAAAAATATTATCCATTGTAATCCGGTATTTGATAAGACACTAGATTAAAAAGTACTGGGATAATTGTTATTCAGACCAAATTTACTTTTAATTAGTTCACTTAGGTCATAGTACTAATTACATACTAACCAAAAACATCAATATAGTTTTGTTATCCATGTCTTTGTTTATTATATGGGCATAATAATAAAAGTACAACATAATACGGTTGAAGTTCAATTTATAACATAGGCTATACCGATCATACTGGTATATCTTTAATTTTGTTATCATTATGACCTAGTAACTTAGTCATTGTCTTATAAAATATGATTTTAATACACACAAAAACTGTCGTTTTAGTCTCAATGCACACAAAATTTTTCTTTCATCACCAAAGTACATTTAAGTAATGATATAAAATTATCCCACAAGTTTTCAAAATTCACATGTATAATAATTCATAACTGTAAAATATTTAATTGCAATCTCTAATATCAATATATATTCCACACATATGAAATATCCACATATAGCACCCACGTGTTTAATATAGAAAATCCTTCTAAAAGAAGTAGTAAACTACTCACTTTAATTTCCAAACTCCAATTCATAGCCCTCTTTCCTAATCGCAATGCAATCATCACCTAATTCAAAATTAACATGTAACAGCTAATTACTATTCCTAATTTTGAAATCTAACGATTCTATATTTAATTTTTCATACTTTCTATCCGTTGATATATATTTTGTATATCTTTTACATAAAAATAACCTTTTTAATATGACATAATAGGGTATAAAAGTAGTCTGGGCAATTTAAATTTTTTTTTTTAAGTTTTGGGGTTAAATCATATTTTTTAAAATTTTTGTAGTCAAAGTATAATTTCTCTAAAAAACATATATTTTGTTTTAGGGACTGCTATAAAATTTTTAGAATTCTATTCTTCCAACTTACCAATTAAAACGGTGGTTAAAATTAAGTTTAGAAAAATATTGGGGTTAAAATAAAACTCTTAAAAATTAAAAGGGATGTTTCTATAATTTTAAGGAATTCATCCTCCCAAAGTTTCACAACCTGCAACTTTTTCCTTGTTTCCCTTCGTGTTCTTTTTGGTTTTTAACGCATTGAATAAATTCTTTAAAAGCCTCAAAAATAATAAATCTAAATTAGGTCAAAAAAACGCCTAAATTAACCACTTACAATAAAACTCATTAAATAATTAATAAATTCACACTGTCAATAGATCCAATTCCCTTTTCTTTTTCTTTCTTCTTTATTCTCTCTCTCTCTTGACGGCTGCTTCACAAATGCATTCTAGGTCATTTGGGGTTTAATGTAAAAGGCCTTATATCCTAGAACTAATCCACTATATTTTTTGAGTATTGTGTTTTACAAACCTTCTGTTTGCAGATGGGAGGAACTGTGGGCAAATGTCACTAGTACCTAACAATGCCTGGTCTATTGAACCTAACTTGCAGGTTTTGAGAACTGAAGGATACATCGTTGTGAAGCAGGGTAATGCCTATGATGACATTCTTGTCTTGGCAACTCCAAAATTGTCTTTCGGCTTTTTAAGCTGATGGTGTGGATTGCAGTTTAGTTGAGGAGCTAGAGCCTCCGTCTGTGTTGTCGTACACTGGTATATGCATTTATGTATATTTGAGGCCGAATGAGAAGGAGTAATTAGTTGTTTTCAATTATTCTGTGAAAGCAAAGTTGTTTAACCCAAAGTGGTAGCTCTATTAGTAAGAGAGACGAAGCTCAAGTGCTCTAAGTGTGAATTTTTACAATCTCTTTGGTAAGACCATGAGTGATTTATATCATATAAATACACTAATCTTAGTATGGATGGTCTGCTTGTGACTGAACTGTTGATGAGATTAATTGAAATGTGTATAAATTGATTCGAACACCTCTGACCGTTGAACCAAAAAAAAGAAAGCAAAATTGTTTTAAGAAACCGATATAAAATTCAAGGTAACTTCCATATGTATATCGAGTTTTAGCAAAAGAACACAATGTTCCATTGAAATTTTAGAAATGACACACATATAGCAACTAATGGCTCGTTTGGTAATGTTTACGATTTTTGATTTTCTAAAAAACAAAAAATAGAATTAAAAAACGAAAAACGTCTTTTTCTCGTTTTTTAAAATCACCTCTCGTTTACAAAACCACGACTGAAAAAAAAAACGGTTATCAAACTGAGTTTTTTTTTCTTGTTTTCTATAAATATCAAAATAAAAATGAAAAAAAAAAACATAAACATTACCGAACGGAACCTTAGTAATTGATTTTTTTTTCTTTTTTTCTTTTCCATTAATCACAATATTGTATGAATGTGGTCCAAATATTAAACAGGTCCCACGCATGTGTCATTCTAAGGGACAAATTAATATAAAAATCAATTAATTTCCAAAAAAACGAAAACATATGTCAAACCCAAAACCATAGCACCACCTACGCGCAAAACCCAATAACCACCACCACCTCTCTCTCTCTCTCAATTTCAAAAATGAAGCCGCAAAAATGCCACCCAAAAGATTCAAATTGCAAAATTGGATCGAAAATTAAAGGGCTAAGACAGAACATGGATTTTGATAGAGGAGGCAAAGTGAGTAAGTGAGAGAAAAGCTAGAAGAAGTACCTTTTTGACAACCGATAGCCCAGAAGAATGGCTTGACTTTGAAATTTGAATCACTTTCTTTATGATGTATTTGGTTGGGTGGATGAAAAAATAAAAAGATAAAAAGTGGAATGACACACTTTTTATTCTTTAAAAGAGGAATCCTTCCTTCTCTATTTTGTGTATGGTATTTTGTGTATGGTAGGAGGTATGAAAAGTAGGAATAATTAATTTTTTTTTTTATGTTTTATAGGATGAAAAAATAGAAGGATAAAAAAATATAGATGCATATTTAATGATATATAGGTAAATAACATACATTTCAACACATATAATTAATTTTTTATCTACTTTTCCTCTCAATTTTAGAGGAATTAATTTTAGTGAATTAAAAAGAAAGTTAATTCATCCACTTTTCTATCATTAAGTAATTGTGACAGCCGTCTCACGCTCACCAAAATATCTTATCTTAATGAGAGAAAATATTGTAGCCTTAAGTTAAATTTGAATATTTTTAATCATTATAATTTACCTTGAATTCAGTATGAGGATCTTAAGAAAACTGTCTGTATTAATGGATACAAACATTTTCATTGCACATGTTTTTATCTCTTTTGGAAAGTAATATATAGTAGAACAAGTTATGTACTAAAAACAATAAAATGATTTTTATGGCAAAGACTAGAGTAAGTTATGATTGATATCCTAACAAACACATAGATGGCCAAAAAATCTTGCAACTGGACCTCAGTTTCGACAAAGTCAAGAATGTACCAATCTCAAGCGGCTAAGACACTGGAAGTTTGAGTCTTTACACATTAGGTCAAAACACCCATAGCCACACATTTGCCTCATATGAAAAATGTGCATACCCACTACATTGCAATTACTTCTCATCCAATTTTAGATACTCCCGCCCCACTCCAATTATGTTTCTTCTATTCTAGATGAGCAGTCATCCAATTTTATTTTTCCAGGCTAGCAATGCATGGAGCGTCGTCCAATCATCCAATTTTAGAGACTCCAGTCCCAATCGATTAATGTTGTGCTTGAACATGATTGAATGCTAATGTTTATATGGTTGTTTTTTTCCCTTCAATTCCAAGTCATTCTGAACAAAAAGTACAATCAGATTGAAATTATTTTTTAAATTTTGTTGCAAAATTCTTAGTTATGTTTCCAATCACAAAGTAGATGTTATGTTTGATTTTTCTTTGAATTTGTTGTTTAGTGAACTGCATTAATTTTGGTGGATCTAGTTGGTTGCTGAGTG